TGGAGACAAATTCTCGAAGTTACGTGATATGTTCGAACGGTATATCTTACGATCAATTCATTGTAATCAGTCATATATTGTACAACTTTATAGAAAGGGACCCAGAAGGGTTCTAGAAATATATGCTGGGCAAGGTCTACATTTCGTATAGGCATATTAAATGATTTTGTATGAATCACTTAATGATAAAAAACTGGAAAACATTATTGATATTTCCTCTATGCTCTCATTTAGTCTGGTTGTACTATGCTCTGTGTAATCTTTGACAACAAGGGCAGATAACAAAGAATCATCACCAGCTATTCACACCTCAATTATTTTTTTATGTTTTTTTTTAACGTGAATTACACTTTGTTTCAAACAAGCAGAAGTTGCAACACGGAAAGGCTGTTATGTGGGGCGTATCTCGCTACTTCCAATCCATGCTTGCACTTCTGGTTTGGGATTACACTATTGAAAACATATAATTTTGAATAAAGTTTGGGGATTAGGTGTGAATAGATGATGATGAGGCAAAACACAAATAATAATAAACAGCTCTGTTGTTGATCAGTGTATGATGTGATAATGAGGATGAAAGGTTGATGATGAAGTGGTGATGATGATATGATGATTACAATGCTGAATATGTGTTACTGCTGATGATGATATGATAGTGATGATGATGATGACGATATGGTGATGATCATGATAATGAAGTGATGATGATACGATGATGATGATGATAACTATGATGATATGATGATGATGATGATGATGATGATGATGATGATGATGATGATGATGAAGATGATGATGACAGCAGTCATTGAGTTTGTATTATTATTGGGGCTTGTGAATGAAACACAGTAGTACATTGTATGTCATGTCAGCAAAGAGGAAAGAGTAGGAAATAATGAGTGCATGTTTTGAGTGAGTGTACATGGGTGTAGTGTGATGTGTGCTAGGGTGTGTATGTGTATGTGAGTCTAGTATATATCGTGTGTTGCATACCTTTGTAAAATCTTGAAAAACAAAAAAAAAAAAAAAAAAACTGGAAAACAAAGAAAAGTAAACACATACTATACTTTGTTCTATAATGTTTAATTTCATATGACGTCATGGATATGATGCAGTTCATTACACGCAATGTTATAACTGAGATCGCTGTCTTAAAACACATGATATACCTATATAAGATTGGTTATACAATATGTAATTAAAACCGGAAACGGAAATAATGGTGAACATAATTTGGCAAAAAAAAATTTCTCATGATAATTTTGAGTCTTTGATAGGTGGTGCTATGTCTTTTTTGAATTCAAACAGTTTCTGTGAAAAAGGGTTGTCGTTATCAGAACTGCAATGTGAAATACATTAATGATATAAATATACAAAAGTTAAATATGGTTGATGAATTGTTTACCTATATGATTTATATAAAAATGGATTTAGAGTTTTGTAGCGTAATCTTACTTCTCAGTATAACCTTTTGTAGATAACAAGAGAATCGGGCTTTACATTACACTTATAGAATGTTTGTAATTACTAGCGGGGGAAATTTCATAGTAAGTAAAAATATACAACATATACTCAAAATGAAGTTTCTGTTATCACAATAGGAATTAATCGGGTTTTCTCCATCTTAGTCTACAAACAAAACCACAACCCTCTGAGTATTAAACATCAAAGTGTGAATCAATATATATACCGTAAAAGGTATTCTCAGTTACATGTATGTCATGTTCATATCTCGTAATGTCATAAAAGATTCAAGAAGAGTTTTTTTTCATATCAAACGAAAACAAGTTATTTGATGGAAAATAATAAATTTTCGTGGCTGTCTTATTTCATTCATTCCGCGTACATTTTTTTAATTAACCAAAGAATTTATATGTCCATGCACTGTTTAAATTCGATTAAACAGATTTATTGACCTATCTTATTCCGCGAAATTTTATTGTCCATGAAACTAATTTTTTGAAATGCCACGAAAACGAAACCCGCTAAATATATCTGATTTTACAGTATCTGATGTGAGTAATAATGCGAAAGTAAGCCTTCCCAATCCTGTGTTTACTACCGACATGCAACACTCATTCTTACTGTGATAATGCAGTCAAGATGTTGTACCTATTTACATGGCGGTATGTAGGAAGGCACAGAAAAAGGTATTCAACAGACAAGGCATCACAGACACTGGTAATAACATAAAATTACGGACATCTTGCTATTGTATAAACTATGTAATCTCGCTCCAACTCTCTCCAAACATGTTAAACTGTTCTAGATATGTCGATTCCGCCCCACACTATAATCGATTTTTTTATCCCAAAGCATTAAATGGTTTCTTATGCAGTGAAACATGTACATCCACACACAAGCATTCGAATGATGGTTTATCGAATAAAACAAGACATCTCTCTAAGCAAGGGAATACCGCACTGTGAATGTAGACAGACACATCATAACGTCTTGTTAGAAAAGTTTACATGAAATTCTAGGTTCTATTTTAGATGATCTGTCATATGTCTTTGACGTAAAATATTAGTCTATCTCATATACTATATAAACAAGAATGAATAAATAAAGCTTTATCGTGAATAATGCCATCATTTATTTATGATAAAGTATATCGACTATACCATTAAAACCAGCAATAATATGCAAACCCATCCATCCATGTAAATGATAAATATGAATATATTATCTACATATTCCTATATAATATGGAACCACAAAACCGTCTGTTACATCTTATTTATTGATTTTAAAAAAAATCTAAGCTGTATCTATTTGCTAGACACCGTTGATGAACTTTGTGTATTACGTGAGATATTGCATAACATGTATCTAAAAGATACTTTTGTTTGAAATGCTACTTTCAGAACTCTTTGGTGTCATTTGTTTCTATTTTTAGAGGTTTGAATAGGTAGGTATGACTACATGAAGGCAGAAAAAAAATTCGATTTGTGGTCCCTTATAAAACATCAACGATCAACGTAGCACTACAGCTTGCACCAACATTATCACTCGCACAATATACACACAAAAAACAAAAAAAAAAAAAAAAAAAGCATTTTGAATAGTATCACGATTAAGGTAATTCTATCACAGACAAAAATAAACGTTTATTCATTGATAAAAAATGAAATAACAATGACGTTATAATCAAGTTGAATAATAATTTCATAATCATTTGCTTTTTTTAAAAATTGATATCGCTTTCGATCATACAATGACAGAATGCCGCTTAGGGAATGCAAAATTACGTAAGTGTAACTATTTTTTGTACATGAACAACCTTTTTCAATTTAATTTAATGAATAAATTTTTGTTTTTTAATATTACTTAGTACTTTTTTTTATGAGAATTTATGTTTGTGTATCAATAACCATCATAATTTTGTGTCGATTATTTATTATTACAAGTTGATCCAAATACATCATAAAAACAAATACATAAAACCACAACACACAAACAAACAGCCGCACGTGTTTTGTTTCTCCCTAAACGACATTGAAAGTTATTTCATTCTTAAATGAAGCTTAAGTTTACTTACATGATTTGTAACAGAATTGTTTGAAAAATGTGTTTCTTTACAAATAAATTGTAAAAGTACTTTACAAGTACACAAAATTGAACTCTTTGTACCGTTGAAATAACTAGTGTTTATATAGCAGTACACACCAAACAAAATAAAAAAAAAGAATATGTCCGTTGCATAAACTATGATATTTGAATATAACATGTAATAGAATATGATATGATTAAAAAAATCAACGTAATAAACTTTGGTGTCAATATATTACAAACATTTAAAACTCTGATAACTAGATCCATAGGTCTCACATCAACACTGTGATTCAAAAACATCATGTCTCGTAGGTCCCGAATATCGGTTATAATTAAAATTGTCAAGGGGTAGGCAACTTGAAAAAATGCAGAAATCATAAATGAAATTTAAAAACAAAAGATAAAATTCGATTTAAACGTGTTGGTAAAGGCTATCAATGGATTTACACGATAGGATTAATTAAGGTTTAAATTGAATCTTCATTTCAAATGAAATATTTATAAAATGCAAACAAAATACACCAGTTTGATCAGTATGTACAATGTCAGATTTCATATTTATATGAAAAGGGTTTATTGAAAAAATGTAACATTTTGTATCGATAATAATATCCATCCATAAATATATTATAGGAACCCGTGATATATGGGAGCCCCAATTGTTTAACAACCCAAAACTAAACCTCATAATCTCACTATGTCGTTCAGTTAAGTTCGATCTGACAACATTTTTTCTCTAAAAAAAAAAAGTTTGATAATACTTTTATTGTAACGTAGAGATACGAATTGTATATCTCTGGTCTAAAGAAGTTGTGAAGATAGTTGTAGACAAATGAATTATTGACAACGATTGTTATATTTTGATTTTTTCATACTTTTTTTCGATCATAACGAACTTTGGTGATAGATGAATCGACCTGCTGCCACGATAAAGGTCGTATATTACTAAAACCGAATTTCGTATCCATAGCGAAACCCAGTCCTTGTTTGTAAAGTCCAAAAATAAGAGCAGTCTGAAAAGACATTGTGTCCTGAACCAGATCATAGACGACAGGGAAATCCCTTACCTTTGTACTTCTTACATTAAATTGAACCTCTTTTTAACCAAGATATAACTACTTAACCTATCTATCTTATATGTAGGTGTTACATGTTTAAGGGTTTCTCTGTAACCAGTATCAATCCTATCTTTAACTATAACGGGCGAGATTGAGATGATCTGTTATTAAGTAGGCCGTGCTAGGTGTCGACGGCCTTTGTCACAATATTTGCAACAAGATATGCGTAGGGTTTCCTCTCATCATAATCGATGTTAGATTTTCCTATAAAAACTGATGTTTTATACTTTCTTTAGTAATCACGGAATGCTACTCATATAAATAAAACTTTCGTCATCAATGCACATGCATGATCGATCCATTGTAAAGGCTTATGATCACGGTACAATTAAGAATCCATATATATATTTATATACAATGGGGTCATGAAGAATAACGAGAGTCTACAACAGGTCATACATTGCTGTGTTCCTCTACAGAATTTCGTTGTTTTGCCATTTTTTCTCTGAAGTTGATGTAAAGTAACTTGATGAGTTCAGAAGCAATTACATCGTTGGCATTGTTACTAACTGCACGTAAAACAAACACACCATCTTGTTGTAAATAGGATTCAACAAATTTTCTCACGACCTTTTTGTCGAGTTCAGATTTTTTGTACATGTCATTTAATCGTAGATATTTCCGAAGATATGATCGCCGATGTTGAGGAAAGATGACAGAGTAAATGTTTATGACAAATGAAAAAGCCGATAACGCTCCTACCAATACTATCCAAAACCACATGAAGATGAAGATTTTCTCGTTAAAGAGATTGATTGGCAGCACACACTGTACTGTCCATCGTTGCAGATTCGTCATCTGACGAATTTCAAAGTCACACAAGGTCACACGTGGGAAACGTGGAGAGTAAGTCCAATCATCGCCATTGACAAGGTTGCTTAACACCTCAAAACCATAAACATTATAGCTCGTACCCAAAAACGCGTTTAGCAGAAACAGCTGTCCTATAGCATTAGCGAGGTAAAGGAGTTTTACCGCCATCACTGCAGTCACGAGGTAGTTTCCATAGTGACGTCCACACAGGAAGCAACATACCTGGCCAACCCTCTGACGAAATCGGACACACATGCCAGCTCTGTACTGAGTAACCCCTTCAATCCACTGGTCAAGATATTTCACGATATATGACAATTTCTTCTCTCTGTCTTCTGGATTAGCATACTGCGTTTCCTTTGCCAGGGTACACAGTCGATCCAAACTTATACCGGAAGCTGCCGAAAACACTTTGTAGACCATCCGGGGAATTTTGAAGAGAAGCGCCATGGTGAGTAAGATCATTGGTATCCACTGGTAGTAAGTGAGCTCCTTCTGGCGGCGACCTTCGATTTCAACAGGGATCTGATGCTGCATCGGGATGTAGTACGTATTTGACACCCAGCAGACAAAATTTGTATATTCCACCCGATTTTCTGTAAAGTCTGCTGGGCACCAACACTCAATAGGATCCCCCACATACTGGTTAGTACTTACTATAACAGTAAATATTATAAGAATTATCACTGTATAATAGTGACTTAAGCGGTCGATGAAATCATCATCATACACAGACTTCAGTCCTATGGTGTGTCCAACTGTCCCGAGCACGTGGTCGAGCCTGGTGGGCAAAAAACAAAAACATGGCGTTAGAAATTATATATAAGAATTAATATAATCGAGGGCTGTTGGGATGTCATTATCTAACGATGGATATGATACAACAGTAGGACTTTCAGGCAGTTACGACCAGGTCTATTGGGATGTGATTATATAACGATGGATATGATACAACAGTTGGGCTTTCAGGCAGTCACGACCAGATCTATTGAGATGTGATTATATTACAATGAATATGATACAACAGTTGGACTTTCAGGCAGTCACGACCAGATCTATTGGGATGTCATTACCTAACAATGAATATGATGCAACAGTTGGACTTTCAGGCAGTCACGACCAGATCTATTGGGATGTCATTACCTAACAATGAATATGATACAACAGTTGGACTTTCAGGCAGTCACGACCAGGTCTATTGGGATGTGATTATATAACGGTGGATATGATACAACAGTAGGACTTTCAGGCAGTCACGACCAGGTCTATTGGGATGTGATTATATAACAATGAATATGATACAACGGTTTCTATTTTTTCAGATTGCCGTTGATTCTGATTTTTTTTATGTCATATTACCTTTTAAATTCAGAAAAGAAATTGTCATGTTTTTGACTAGCATACAGCTTTGCGAATTAGCTTGTATGATGATACGGCAAATACCAGTAAAATTCATTTCTAGATTTATAATGAACTAAAAAAAATCCATTACAAGTCGCTATTCTCTACAGTGGATATTAGAGATTAGTACGAAAGTAATCGTACTAAAACAAAAATAGAATAGATAAGCTGATTTTGATTACGTCACGATTAAGTACTATATTTACCGAAAGTCGAGTCACCTGCCATATCTGGATTTAAATATTTAAATATTATGTTAAATGCTATTCCTTAAATACAATAATCCCTTCTAAAATTCAATTCATAAAAAACACGTTACCTTGTAGGCAGGTTAAACCATGACGAAGTCAGTAGCAAACTCTTAAAGCAATAAATATCATGCGTTGATAAAGAAATATAAATTACTATATTCCCTTTATTCTCACACATATAAAAAGGATTGTACAAAAGACAATAGTTAGTAGTTCCCTTGAATACAAATATAAAATGATATTCAGTAGAGAAAAAGAAAAAAAATAAATAAGAAAAATCTTAGATGTCAAATAGCTGTCCTTGTGTTTTGATTTGTTAACACTATAACACAAATACCTGTATGCTGATATGTTACTGTAAATGTTATGTTACTGATTTTCAATATTCGCGGTTTTATCATAAAGATTACAACAAGATGTATTATTCTTAAATCTTAAAACAGACACTTTCACTTTCACTATGTCTTTTTTCGAGATTTTATTATATCCTCTGTAGTAGCAAGAAGGCATCTAGAAAATGTTCAAGCGTCTCATCATTTCAAAAATTGTGTACCGTTGTCATTGCTTTTGTCACGGTGAAGAAAACCAAAGTAAATCGCTAGATATTGGATAAAACGACGATCTAAAAGAAAAAAAAGAAAGAAAGAAATGCTCTGGCATACCTTCCATCTATCGCGTCTCAATCAAACAGCAAAACAAATAATGTAATGTTATCCTGCTTAGATGTCCTTGTAAGTTTACGATGGGTAGGTTGTAAACGTTATAGGAGTCATGAATATATATAGCGATTGCATATGGTTGAACTGTTTGAATTTGAGCTTTAATTATACTTTGGTTTAATATATATGTTATATGTCACCTTATATGTTTTTCGTGTATGTCAACCATCTTGTACCAACAGTAGCAAAATACACCAACATGTTAACATAATCATAATCTACAGCGAAATTCAAGAGAAAAAAATACACAATGTACAAAAATATTGATAAAAAAGGTTTCGGAAGAGCAAGCGTCTACTGCTTCATTACATATGCCATGTTAATCTCAGTCGATCCAAGTAAGTAATGCCAGACTCTAAAATGAGAACAAGGTATACAATAACAGAAACATTGGGCAAACTACCGAGTATAAACCACTTCCAGCTTTATATGACCTAAAAATAAAAATATTTCTCGATAAGATCTACCTACCATGCAACCATCTTGTGTGCTTTGTGACAAACGTCAACTTGACACCAGTTTCTGTTCTCGAGTGACGCTTACATGGTCATCATCATCGTGAGATATGATAACGTGTCACCCATTTTGTGTTAAACATAGCTATCTATATTTAGGTTCATCTCGATTATACCTATTAACCCACATGATGTATTATCTATACCAAAAGTTTGATTTAACAATGTCTGATGAAAAGCGGTCAAGTACAGAAGGATTTAATTTTGAACGTTTCGTCGACGAGCCTACTGTTTTAGTGTTATTATGTCATTGATATCAACCTTTTATTCTGACGAGGTATCAAACTTTTAAACAAATAGTTATATTCTACATATAAATAAATATACGATGGCTGCATGACGATTTGCTATTCTCGTTATTTCATGATTCCTCGGTGGAGGGGACATTTTGATCCATAGAATCAGTCATGTTCAATTCATCACTAACATATATATATACTCTATTGTCCTATTTAGAGCACTGGGGTTCAAAACAGGATCATATATGATGTAACAGAACCTAACAGAAAATACATAACAGATGAATTTGACCTATTTTAGTATGCTAGCCAGGTCGGTAAGACATGCCTTAAGCTCTAAGGATGTACAATTGTACGCAACGTACTGCTCTTAATGATGTAAGTGTATACACCAAATTTCAGTGTAGGTAAACAAAAGTCGAGGTTAGTATATGTAGCAAATTTCAATGTACCTCTAAAACTTAATTAGACACATTTATCAAAGTATGGACTTTTATTTAATATCTGCATAAACAAAATACACCCAACTACGAGTATTCCTGTTGCTAAGGTAACTGGGGTTACTTTTCATGTGCTATATGTTGGGACGTTTTGTCAGTAACAGCAAATGAGATTAAAGGCAAAAAATTGGAGCTTTATAAGAGTTCCTGTAGGTAACAAACACCTCATTAAGACTTTGCTGCACTTCTTCGTGAATCTCTACGGATCTACAGGCGTCTGTCTCGGATAATGTACAGCTTCATTATAAAGTGTCAAAGTCAAAGAAAGCTAAAACGGAGTCACTCGGTACGATATATATATAAATAGAGTCTATACACGTCCATATCAGCGGAGGGAAAACACAGAAGTTACTCTTTAGGACACGCCGTAACGTTGACAACCTCGAGGGGCGAATAGGAACAGAAGAACTACTAAGAATTTACAGTCATTTTGATTTTGGTAATTTTGGTAACAAATTTGCTGGGAATGCAAAGAAGGTTTTCGCATATTTGATTCCCTCGCTGTATTGAGGTTAAATAAGGACGCTGAAAAGGCCTCATATATGTCATACTCTTTGGACGAGTTATTTAGTATGCGGTCCGGAATGACGTCATCGTATTTAAAGGTCGTTAAAACTGAATGTATTGCGTTTTTGTACAACAATATAGTCTTGTTGATTTGTGTGTTCCTGTATGACGTCATTATGTTTTTAAGTCGTTAAAACTGTATCTACTGTATTTTTGTATGACAATTTAGTCAATTTGTTAGTTCGGTAAAACTAACTGATGGTCTGTAACAACTACACCTCGTCTTATATTCAAGTTGTTGTTTTGATTGATTGTAAAAACTGGTGTCTGGAACATAAATAATCGTGTGATGATGATGGAGTCTTGAAACTACCCCGTGGTGACCAGTAAAACCACTGTGATAATTGACCTTAAGACTACCGTGTGGCCTTGCATGCCCTGTTTATGATAATTAGCAATCAAATACTACTTTGTGATTTCATTTGCTATTATTTCTTTGTGTAGTTATTAAAATACATTACGATTTCACTATGTCCATGTATTAGATAGAGTTAAAACTACAATGAGAGGCTACCTCGAAATAAGCGATGTGTTTAATATATCGAACTGTGTACTCGAGTTAGGAATATAAATAATTATCTACGTAGAAAGCAGTGTGTGTTCTTCTAAGTAGTACAATAAGATGGCTTGACTACAGCCATCTGTTAACACTAAGGTAATGAATGTGGTTTTCACACCAGAAACTGATAACACCTGGCTCTCTTGTGGACTCATGTTTGTAATCTATTTATAGTGTTTTCATAATATTGCGTGTGAAGCGGCTGACATCGCGTTACTACCCTTGGTTATTCCTTGCTTGTTCATAACAAATATGTTAGGTAGAGATGTAGTCTTTCTGTCACTATCAACTGATGTGGTTTAAAAAAATCGTTATCTTTGCCTATTTTTCTATATCAAGCAGATACGTAACTTTGTACCAATGTTGCCTGTAGTCTATTTCAGGTAAAGCATCATTATGGAAAAACCCAAGAAAGTTTATTGTATGTGATCACGTGATTTGTTGGGGACTTTCTGGTTATTTATGGTGACAGGTAACCTACCAAATACTTTCACCATGTACTTAGTTGTAGCCTAGTAACAAATCCATTGTGTAATGTGATATTTTGTATTAGCTTTACATCTTCTGTGTTGCAGGCCTTATTTTTAGATGAGAAGGAAAATCCTGTAAGAAGATAGTTTGTTAGATAAATAAATGAATTGTTCAGAAAATAGTGCGCACATTTTCATCATGATATATGCATGGTATACAATGCACTGTATTCTCTCTTTAGCTTTGTGCCAAAAGCATGGATTGCAATGAAAATCCATATACTAAAGTTAGGAAGGGCATGGATTAAAAATCAATGTTCAAAAATATTTTCGTTGAGGTTAGTCATGATATCCGAATCCAAGAAACTCCCAACTCACGTTTAAAGTACTGAGAAAACTACTAAACAGAGTTAACAGCACACCCGTCGCCCTGTCCACAAACTGACAACAAAGTTATAAGGACGAATTTGTATAGAAAGATTTATAACCCTCCTATCCTTGGTGCTATGATTAGCTGGTTCAACATTTCCGAGGTCACTGAGGTTGTGATATGATTCACT